CTTTAACACAATATACAGAAACGTTAAGGCACCTTAGAATAAAAAAATCACAACGTTAAATACTGCATTATCCTCCATTCAAACGAATTCACAGCAAGACAACCGTTCCTCAAAGAGTTCACGCTTTTTAAGAAAAATTCTTTTATTGAATGTTTTTCTATGTGGAGACTAGGTCGTCCTCTAGTTCTGCTAAATTCTGCTGCTGGAAAAGCTGTCTCACACTCCGGTCTATCTTCCTCCATACATGTTTTTAAAAAAAGCCCTTCACCGGCATACGGTAACGTCTCCATATGAGTGAAAAATTCTCGAGAGGGACGTTAAACAATATACAATCAATCAATCAACCTCCATACATGTAAGTTAGGGTTGAGATTAGGATGACAAGGGGGCTTACTGATTTTTCTGTGCCTTGCTGACAACAGTTACATAATGTCTCATTACATGTATTCCCCATTCCTCCAGTTTGACATCAAGGGAAGGCCACTCCTGGTTCCAGTTCCATTGATATTTCCGGATAAACTTTAGGATGATTTTGTTGTGTTTGGTGAAAAATCTAGCGATTTCTAATAATTAAAAAGAATTCAGGTATGTTTAGAACGTTTTTCGGGCAGTAATTATAAAGGTTTTAAGTAAAATAAAGTCATACACAGAACTCTCATTAACTACGACCAGCTTGGGCCATTTCATCTTCACTTTCAGATTGTTGTGTGGACATACACCGCATTTTAATCAAACTTTTTTTCTGTTTTTCTTCATCAATTAAAGACGTAGAACACATGGAAGTAAAAAATATGAAAAATACACCCGAAAAACATATGGAACTCGAACTTCATGCTTTTTAACAAAAACGGACACGGTCGAGTAATTACACATTCGATTACAATTTTTTTGGCCTTGACAGGTAAGTATTGCAAATTAAGGGCAAAATTGTAAGCAACTAGTACATTGAAGTTAAGGTTATGAAATTTTTGCAAAAATAAAAATTTTGACAAGTATATATTCCTGTCATACAAGTTTAAAATTTGTTGCTCAGAGAAAATTTGATAGTTTTACTTCCAGTTCGGCGGCAACTGGGAAATAATTCTTGCAATAACTTTAGCGAAAAGCACTAAGCCCCCTGTTCACACAGAGCTGTGTGGCAACGCACTTTGAACAATTTTTTCAAAGTGCTTTAAAATTGGGACAAATTCAACGCACTTTGAAAAAGATTTTCAAACTGCTTTAAATTTTGGACACACTCAACACACTTTTAAAATTTTTTCAAAGTGCGTTAAGAGTGTACATAAACATTTTATACCATGGGGACATTTAACGCACTTTGAAAAAAATGTGTATAAAACAAAAAATTCTAGATGTAGATTGTAATAAATGGAGAAACAATTTGTAATAATTATATTTTTCGAAAAACCTAGCTTTTAATTTACATGCACTCGTTTAACCTCATTGAAAACAAGGAGAAGACGAGTAGAAAGTCTCTCAGCCCAACTCTTTTTCTTCTTATACATTGTACATAGCCGTCGGTAGCAAACTCTCCCTTAGATAAGCCCCAATTTTCAATGCCTATATTATGTATATTTTTGCAAAACATTTGTGTGCCTAAGCCCCCCCCCCCCCCGCTACCGATGCCTATGTTACACCCAAATGAATGTATTTACATAACTAGATGTATGTATTATAACGCTGAAAACTTTCAATTCATTTCTGTTTACATATCATGCATGAAAACTAGGAAAAAATGTAGAGTAAACATTTAAGAGAAAGAGAGAGAATTTTCAAAGTATGGAAAAATCAAAATAACCTACTTTCACATCCTGAAGTGACCTCATCACTGAAGAGTTATCATACAGGTTCAATTAATTATTTATCATACCTAAGATTTGCAAGAATATAGACCAAGCCATACACATTTTTCAAAGTGCGTTAATATGACAAATTCTCGATTCTTGTTGGCCACTATCCCGCTATGCTTGTTTTGAGCATTTCCAAAATAAGCTTGGCGAAAGCGAAGTTGTCTCCGATCATGAAGACCATACCTCGATTATACAGCACTTATGAAGACTCCACTAGGTTTCTCCTGTAATTTGTCACGATCGGCTACGTTTTCGGTCATGCTCTGATCGTAGTAGAAACGGCGTATATGTGTGAACGGGGGCTACGATAATCTGACCTTCTAATTCTGAAAATCGGGGGATAAGCATCGTTGCAAACCTCGGACAAAATGTACGCTCCTTTCCCATCTGGCCGTGGTTGAACGAGGAGAGAATTCTTCGTAGCTCATTAAAATATTGACCAATGAGAGTAAAGCATAGTCGGATGATGAACTTTATCGCGACCTTTCAATGTCCAATCGCAGTATAGGAAATATTTCTTGTATAGTATGAAAAAACGTCAGTCAGAATTTAACCCAATGATAAATTGTTTTTGCTGACAAGGTCATTGTATCGACCATAGAACTTACGAAATGATGACTTCCAAAGAAACTGCTGATATTCTTGTTTCTTCAACTTGTATGTCAATAATTAACCTCGTTTTAGAAATTATTAATACGTAGAGTATGTTCTTGCGTATCGAATCAATTGAGATATATAAACTCCGTATGCAGGTGATGAAACTATATTGCTGCATAAGTAAGGGAAATTGATGATTGAAAAGTTAAAGTAATCACGTTTATCATATAGCTTGGTTGTTAAATTACCATTAACGTCTTTTTCAAGTAAAATATCCAAATATAACAGAGATGTGTCAGATTTGGGTATATAAGAATGGAAATTACCATCTTTAATTGACAATACATCGTTGATATATCTAAATGTCAAGCTTAAGACCACAACAAGTGTTTTCTCCTTTTCACGCATAAGATTTTGCTTCATATAAATAAAAAAAAATACGTCTGCTAATAACGGGACGCAACTGTTATCAATAGGAATTCTAATAAATTGTTGGAAGATGTGGTCTCCAAAAACAACAAAGATATTGTCAATAATAACCATCGAAATCTTCTTGTGTGAAAAAAACTTTACAATTTATTTTCAAATTTAATTTCTTTTCCTGCTTAGAGTTTAGACCTAATTTGGCGTGTAATTTTCAACTACACGTGTGCAGCCCTTAAATAGAATCAATACAATGTATTTAGTCCACACACAAGAAATAATGTGCTTGTTATTAAACTCTATAAATGTGGGCATTCAGAGTCAGACATCATTTTAATTTACCACAAAATTGTATATAGCTAGGTTTTGATGCTCATCATTTTAACTGTATTGAAGTGGAACTGAGATTTAATTTTGCAATTGGTTATCCTACTTATACCATAGTTCCTTTTGTAAGGAGGTAATTCCTCAAAATCATATAATGGATATTAATGTTTTAATTCCCAACAATCAAAGTCAATGTGAAGTTCGATCATTTCAATTTATCTAAAAAAGTTAAAAACAACTCACAAGATATGAAATAAGTTTTAGTGAATTTAAACCCAAGCTTTTTAAACTCCTTCCTGGAATATTTAAACTGCACTTTATGGACGTATCGACATAAGAATGAAAATAACCATTTTTTTTTTGACAATACATCGACGATATACATATATAAATGTCGAGTTGAAACCACAGCAAGTGTTTTCTTCTTTCCAAGTATATAATTTTGGACAAAGTTTGCTTCTGCTTGATATGAAAACCTAGATATGCTAATTACGAGGATCAATTGGTACCAATGGAAAATCCAATATTTTGTAAGAAGTCCTTGTCTCCCAAAACCATAAAGATATTGTCAATTAGAAACTCAAGCATCTTTTGAATATCAACTTCAGAGTACATGTATAAAATCAGAATTTTTAAAATAAAATAATATTAAAAAAAGGAGCTGTCAATAACATCAAAAAGCCTGGATTTTAATTATCGACGGGAATGACTGTATATAAAGTTGAAAAGTAATGAGTTTTTATGCTGTTGATTTTTGACAAAATTCAAATTTTCCTAAAGTTCCTAGGAATTTTTAAGTATCCGCATCTGGTTTACATTGCTTTTCGAATATATTGTTGCTCCTTGGCACCTGATCCCACCTCTGATGTTTCGGAGGTCGTTGATTGCTCTGCTCCTAATTTGTATTGTTTTATGGACTTTGATATTGAATACTGATCGCTATCTCCATATCCTTCACTACTGATCAAATATTAGTGAGGAGTACAGAAGGTGTGGTAGAACATTTACTAGAACCCACTTTTTATCTTTGTAAGCATTTTATGAAGTATTGAAATCAAATATAGATATGATAATTCAAATTCATTTTGGTTGTTTGTGATATCAAAACACTCAAAACTGATTTTGATTAATTTCTTCCTTAGAAAGGGAGCTATTGGTCTAAGTTGAATAACCACCAGTAGAATTAAATCCCAAGTCCTCTAATAATTAGCCTTACAAACAAAGACAATGTTACCTGCTTTGTCAGAAGGAACTCAATGTGATACAATGCAAGTGGGAACAATTAATATTCTCCATGAACAACACCTACGGCAATAGAAAGAAAAGTATAAATATGATCTGTTCAATGCAGCATATATATATAAAGGTATTATTTATCAGGAATATTGGAAATTAATTGTTCCCTTCTACGTCTTTGTTTCAATTCGTTATAGAATAGCCGTTAATAGTATATAAGCATACATTTGTATAAAGACAGATGCGTTCTCATACTCTGCTTTTGAATATGAAATAATTAAACATTATTATATTCTTTTGAAAACATCAGTGAAAGTTTCATTAATATTGCATTGAACGATTGATTTTTCTGTTTGTTTCTAACGGGTGAACTGAGGTATTCATACACTCAGTCTCATCGTATTGATTTTTTACTCGTTTGTCCCATCCTAACTAATCGTAAGAGAAAGCATCCGTAACACGATATACGTAAATCAAAAGAGATACACAGACATTATACGTCCAGTACAGTAGGTTATTTATATGCATTGTCAGTGATAACGATTTAACGCGTCACTTAAGTTTAAGTTTATCATAAAAATCTCTGAAGCTTTTAATTTGAAATTTTAAAAAATATGCTGTTCGAATTTATTCAAAAGTCAGGAAATTGGGGGGTTACCAGTGAACTTAAACTGTGGCAATTATAGGTAAGTCAATTCAATCCAGAAGAAATCCTTCAAACGTTTTCATTATTCTTGAGTTCTGAATGTGTTATTTTTTTATATACATAAATGTATATTATTCCCACTTATGTCATCATACTTTATCTCCAAGAAACCTTTGATAATAGTCTAAATCTGTAAACTTATCTAACCAATGCATGTAAGAGTTATCAGCCATTTTCCTAAATTTTTTCAAAGAATATTGTCTAATCTAATTTTGTCTTTTAAAATACGTATCTTACTCGATAAAATCTTAAAAGTGGAATTAGTGGATATGATTGGTATATTTTGCCCTGAATATGTTTCTCGATATTTATGTATAATTAAAGAAGATCAGTAATAATTAAGTATGATACATGATAATTTAGACAATAGTTATATGAAATGCTTTTTCCGCCATTACCTCAAGGAGCTTTAAATTTTACCTATATATCTGTATGTATGACAGCTTGTAATTTTGGACACTTCTTAAGCAGGCTACCAAGATACGACATAACATGGCCTCGTCGTTATAGGTGTCAAAACAATAAAACCTCTCTGAAAATCCTCTTCTTTCAAACATATATGCGATTTTTTGGGTGACCCTCAACCTTTTCAGAAGCAAACTGAGTCATGTCCTCAAGAAAGGGCCCAGCAAGAAGATATAAAGTGTTGTTATCATAAGTAGAATATAGAAGAGATTTAGCTTTATAGCTCATAAAAGCAAGTAGTTCAATAGGTGAGGAGTAAAAAAAGGTTTTATATAAATAGCTTCCTTTACAATGTTAAGGTTTCATGATATTTTGTTAAGCTTTTCTGTAGAAGTATGCCCTAAAATACATTATGCAGGTATTGACAATGAACTTTAAAAATTGATGAGATTACTACTATTCGCTATTTTCACTATTCAAATGCATGATCAATGTTATTAAAGAATAAAATTGTCAAATAGTCTTAGCTTCATGTCGATGCATTTGTAACAATTAGTATCATTCAGAGAGCCTGTTAGTTACATGTACTAGTATTGCATACAAAAAGTGTAAATTTATAATGTGTCAGTTAATGAGTAATAAGGAGATAACAAACAGTATTTAAGATCAAAAGTCCATCAAACAATACAAATCAGGAGCAGAAAAAAACATGGACATCCAAAACATCAGAGGTAGGATCAGGTGCCATAGAGGAGTGAGGTCCCCTGCTGACCGGTCACATCCGCTCTTCCTTGTCATGATTATGAAATAACGGGAAATCCGTCGTCAAGTCATTGGGTAAATAATCGCCTAAAACTAGTATATCATAAAGCTTTGTTGTTAAATTATCAAAAATTTCTTTTTCAAGTTAGAAATATAAAGATGAAACAGATGTATCAGACTCTGAGGTATCTTTTACCCAAAGCTCTCCGGGATACTAGTATATCGCATCGACATAAGAATGAAAATAAGCATTTTTAACTGAAAATTCATCGTCGATATATTTCAATTTCGAGTTTAGGGCCACGGCAAATGTTTTCTTCTTTTCACGTAAAAGATTTTGGACAAAATCTGCTTCATATGAATACAAAAATAGGTCTGCTAATGAGATTAAAGAACTTTTCCGGGGTTTTCCCCAATCATGACAAGGATTACTTGTCGAAAGGAGTGCGCATGTGACATGTCGGCAGGGGGTGCTCACTCCCCCTTGGCACCTGATTCGTCTTCTGATTTTTTACGGTCTGTGTTCGTTCTGTTCCCGATATCTATTGTTTGAATGGACTTCAAGTAAGACGTGTTTCAGCCCAATTGAATGTTCTCCTTCTTCGTATAAAACTATGCACCATTAATATCCTTAAAAGTATGTGTACTAATAATGAACTTTAAAAACTTTGAACTCACTCCAAACGAGCACAAGAAATAGAAATTTTGCATCAAGGAACTGTTTGTTGAGATGATTGTTTATTTTGCTAGCGGACTTCATATGAAACTTAATTTACTGTCTTTCCCAATTGTACAAATTTTCGAATTATGCTTGAACATAATCAAATAAATTGTTCCTTTCAGTACAGGCAAACTTATACAGGTGGCTAAAATATACAGCAATTGTATTTAAAGAGCGTGTTGCTTTTGGTGAATCAAGAATTTAATAAAATAGGCATAGTCCAAACCAAAAGAAAATTTGACGCTGACCTGAAAATTTTTAAAGACGTTACAATTCCGCAATTATATAAACTATGATTAAAACAATCTTAGTTCCCAGGGTGCTCCCACTTACATTTGCTATCAATGAAAACAACAAAAAAGAAAACTCTGTAGTAATATGCATAACCTGTATTTTTTTCTGTTTAGTAATTGTTTCATTCTCTGTGTTTCGTTTGAGACCTGATGTGGTCTGTTGGTGATATTTTCACCAATATCAGCACCGATATCAGCTAAAGGATATAAATATATGACAAAACACATTCACAGATGAGATGGAGAAAAACACTGCTAGGACTTAACATCCATTTAAGATCGTCAACGTACGATTTGATGTATAAGAGGTTGCTGCATCTTCAAATGCCAAAGAGAACATTCACAGGAAACACAAAATTATTGTTATCCTCGGTCCTAAAGTATGTTATATTTTTAAATAAAAGGGGGGGGGGCAAATGTCACTTTGTTTTTATCTTATGGCAATGTTGGCCATGCATTCTCATTAAAATGAAGGGACCGGCTGCGTATCCGATATTCGCCACTGCAGTATAATTTTACATAAAATATGGATAATATGGCATAGTCCATCCGGCCAAAGTAAATAAATACATTGTAGAATTGATGATCAAAAACTTAGCAGGTGGGTATTCTACGGTAGAAAGTAAAGAACGAATATTGTTCTCGTCACGATTGCTGTAGTTTGATCTTCGGATAAAAAGGGCACTTGGGAAAACAAGAAAATTGAGCTGCTTATTTATAATTTAGTTCCTCGCCATGTAGATATTCGTTGTAGCATATAGTAAATAATGAATCATTTAGATGATTTTTGTCATTCAAATTAAGATAATGGAGATATATGTATAAATAAACACACAAAAAAATTAATAATTTTGCTATTTGTGATTAATGGAGTCACGCTGAAGATTCTGAAAGATTAATTTGATAACTAACCATTACGTTAGAAGTGGTGTAAAGCAACAAGATTGCGCATTTACTGCAATAACTGAAATGAATAGGTGAAAATTGATAACGAAAACTGATAGATCTTTTGACAAACTACAAACAAATCAAAGATAAACAGGGTACCCGAAAATACGGACATTTGAAAAATTTGGTCATTGTTATTTTTGTAGCATCAACGTATTTGTCAGAAACCTATTGCTGTTTTTATATCGTACGTATTCCGGGAGATACTCTTGAATATCTAAGACGTTTAACGAGATGAAAAATCACATGTTGAAAAATATAATTTCAATTTAATATAATTGATTTTTAAAACGATTTTTTAACTGATTTGTAGCTTGACGTAGTAAAAGTGTGTTTTTGACGTAATGAAAAACTGAATCTCTTAAAAAAGGTTTCATAGAAAGGTTATGAAAGAAAAAGTATTAAATACAAGCTTTATGAAATTTTTAACATAGAAATTTGATAATCTTTCATTTTTTATTATTATTTTATTGTAAAAATCCTTTACATTTGTCATATTTTGTAGTACTCTATAAAAGCAGGGATTGGCATTTTTAGATACGCCCTCTTGAAACAAGACGGTAGAATTTTTGTTTCCTACATTTATACATGTATATAATGTACAATATTAAATGAGTCATCATACGTCATAATTTGAGCAAAAAGTTTATTTTAGTATTTGTATAATTTGCTTTAAGATGCGAAAAATTGATACTTTCCAATAGTAAATGTACTTGTGTTTTAAGACGGCTCCTTAAAAATACCTGAAGGGTAGATTTTCCATAAAATTGGCATGTACACTGAAGTCAATGTCAGTAACATATGGTATAAAATTATAGAGTTTTCTGTTTATTAATTTTTACAGATTTTTTTTTATAAGTAAAAGTTTCTCAAATGCCATGAGATGTTGTACTGAGCAAAGTGAGAGATAAATATGAACTAAAATTAGTACATGTTTTACCCGAACAGTTCATTAAATCCTTTTTCATCACTACTCTACTGTAATGTGTTATGTTTTATTTCATGTTATATATTAATGAAGCTCTACACATTAACAAAAAGTGCTTTTTGGACTTGAAGAAAAATATTTCATATAAAAGTGTGTATATTTAGATCAATTAATTCATTTTCAACATAAGGAGCCTGCCTTAATTCTGCAGGAAAAATGTTCGAAGACAAGGGACTTTGCGTGAACAGAAACACTGTTGTTTACTTGCATTGGGAAAATTAATGGAAATAATGAATTTAATTACTTATTCTTGGTCTAATATAATGCTAAGCATATTTTAGTCTATTACAAATTGTGTAATTAACTGTAAATAACCATTTTTTATATCTCACTTCTAAGGGCAGATCACTCTAACAACATAAAAATACCCTACAATTAGAGCTCTTTAGTATGCAGTGTTTAGAGCTTCCTTAAAACAATATTTAATCCTTATTGATGCCATTTAATACAGCCCTAGAATTATTTCCTTTTGTGTAAATCTACCTGTCTACAATAGGTCAGTTGACGATCAACCATAAGTGATGTTTTTATACTGAATTTGACAAGATAGAGCTCAAGGCGGATGTAATGGTCAACAGGGGATGTTTTTTCCTCCTTGGTCTGATCCCACATCTGGAACTTCCATGTTTTGCGCCCTTAGATATATTTGCATTGTTTACAACTTTTTTTCAGATCGATCGCTGTTTACTTCACATTATTCGTCGCTGAAAGGAAAACCTAATGAATTTAACTAGTGTGCCTCCTAAAGAGTTTGTCGTGATACCGGTAAGTAATCTTTCAGTTTACTAGCTAAGATAGTAAGTTGTGAAGCGGGGGTAGTATAGATACTTAGATACCCAGTGAAATGAAGGATATGGAGATAACGAACAGTATTCAATATCAAAGTCCATAAAGCAATATAAAATAGGAGGAGAGCAAACACGGACCTCCAAAACATCAGAGGTGGGATCAGGTGCCATGGAGGAGTGAGCATCCCCTACCGACCGGTTATTTATCAATTCTAGATTTACTAATCTTATCTAGTAAATATACCCAATACCTATTAAAACTACTGTTATGGTAGTGATTATATGGACAGTTAATTTCTTAGTCTTCTTCGTAACTTTAACTAGTTATTTTTTTTTTTACAGTTATGTCTCTGTATAAAGATTTAAGCCAGGAGCTAAGGAATTTTGAGGACATAATAATTTAATGTAAACGTTTGACTCGTCTCAGCTAAGAGCAGAAAAAAAGGAAACTACATCAGCAATAAAAAAAACACTGTCCTTTGGTACCAATTGTAACAATCATATTTTTGATTTTTTGATGTGGCTTCTCATTGAATTCAAAGACAGGATGAGTAATTTTTGATTTGTTGAACTATTTGATGGGATATAGTTCTGGCTGACGTATCAGTAGGAAACACATTGTATATTTTAAATAATCAATCAATCAAACCTTGCTTAATATTTTGTTTTAATTTTGGCTGTAAAACAAGTAAGAAATACAGAAGGAGTGGAAAGAGATCTTTTTATGCGCCCGGATCGAAAGATCCGAGGCGTATATTGTTTTTGTCCTGTCTGTCTGTCTGTCTGTTTGTCTGTTTATCTGTTTGTCTGTTTGTCTGCAAACTTTAACCTTCACCATAACTTTTGAACCATGAATGGTTGAGACTTCATATTTGGTATGCATACTCTACTAATTAAGCTCTTTCAAATGACACCATGGTCAATGACCTTGTTACCTTGACTGTGACCTATACACTAAATATAGTTTTTTTGTCAGCAAACTTTAACCTTCGCCATAACTTTTGAACGAAGAAAGATAGAGACTTATAGTTGGAATGTATACTCCACTAATTATTTACTACATGAAGTTCTAAATGTTTTATTAACTATACACCACATCATGTTTAATATTCATTGTTTAGTACCCTTGCACTGTGTCCATGATTTTTTTATGTATGGATTTGTGAATCAGTAACTTTTAAGGAATGACTCTAATTCTTGACCTCAGTTTACGCTTTATAATCCGCGATAATGGTTTTTTTTACGCTTTATAATCCGCGAAGCGGATTATAAAAAAGCGTAAACTTCGCTCGATAATCTGGCCAAGAATTTGAAGTCATTCCTTATAATTTAATTTTAAAATAATTAAACAACTGGGGATGTAAAATTGTGTTGTTTTTATTAGTTCAAATTTACCGCGCAACAATACAACCGTAGTAACGGAAGTGATGGGAAGCTAATTATATATAGATCTAGCAGCCATGATGCTTGTTTACATGAGGTAAGATGTGTTTGAAGTTAAAGGTACATTCATTAAATCTGGAATTTTTCATGAATCCCACATGGAAATGTTTAATATTCAGCTGGTTGTCAAGGGGGTGTGTCCCTTGCACTGTGTCCAAACCAGATTTTTGTTATGCGTTTTTGGAAATCAACCAATGAAGGCGAGAATACAAATAAAATAAAATTATTTGTAATTAATAAGTTTGAGCAAATACATTTATTGATTATTTATTGGCTCTTTTTAATAGCAGATTTACTTAAGGGTTTCATAAGTCATCTCTTCATATGGCAGGTACGTGTTTTCTGGAGTAACCTTTAAATTAGCATTGTATATTTCCTTTTCTACTTGTAATGGTGTGAACAATACATAATTACCAAAATGAATCATATTAATTTATATAATTATGTAGGTATAAAAGATGTGATAAGTCATATCTCAGGAAAGCGTAAGGAAGTGCATCAAGAGTTCAACTGTTCAGAAGCATAAAGGTAAATCCGTCTCTTTTTTGTTCGTGTTATAAAAAAAGGAAAGCATGGTAAAGGACTGAATTTGAAAGGATGATATCATATTAAAAATTTTCAACAATACACAACAAAATTGCTACTTTTCTTAAGTATTAAGGATAAAGTTAAAATTTGTGAAAATGTAAGGATGTGTCAATCAAACGCGTCTAGAAATTCGAAGTTTCAATAACTCCACACACAAAAAAAGATTCATATCATATTTTCGTATGAAATGCTATAGCAGCATATAACTCATGAAATTATACAGAAAATTTGAGAAAATGTTAACATCTGTGTCTAAGCACCCTGAATAGTTAGAGGATTTTACGAAAGCCCAGAAGACTCGTTTAACCGGTTTGAGTTTCGAAATACGAATCTAGAATGAGCTTTCTGGGCCTTTGTAGAATTTTATCCTTTTCTCCCTGACACAGTTCATGTATTTCTATAAATTATTTAACACTGATGTAGGCTCGCAGAACCTTGATGTGGCATGTGTAGAGTAAGGGGGATCAATATATCAATATTATATATGTTTTTAAACCTCCATGAGCGATAAATTGGAAAGTATTCTTTTAAGCTTTATACTAATTCAATGCATCGTAACTTATTTCAATAAAGCAGCAATCATGTGAAATAAGATTAATTGACAATGAACATTGATTTATATCATAGTCATCATGTTTTTTTTTGTTTTTGTTGTTGTTGTTGTTGTTTTTTTTTTTTTTTTTTTTTTTTTTTTTGGGGGGGGGTGGGGGGTTGAAGGTTAAAAAAAATTATAATAGTTAACCTGTCATGCTAGGTCCACGTTGAAAATTCAAATAATGGAAGACTAAAGGCAAGGTCGTTATCCAGCAAATAAATTGATGGGAATGATACCCTTTGAGTTCATTTAGAATAGTTTTAGCCCTTTCAAATCGATTACTAAAACAAATTAAGTTACAATAAAGGCGATACAAAAAACGCCACTTTCCCTGCCATAAAGGTAGCATTGTACGTGAGTAAGCCTTGAGCCAATAATTGAGTACATGTCTTTTTGTTTTATTATAATTTCAGTATGAGCTCAAAGGCGCCAACAGACCAAATTCATATGTTTATTCAATGCTCTATTAGTGATTGGTTACAAAAAATTTGTTATTCTAATCAATGTTTAAATGTCCTTCCCATTGTACTTCTGTAGTCATTAAACCAATCAAATCATATTAATCTCTCTGTGACCACTTCACGTTGCACTCTTATAACTGGAAGTAATTTTATAAAAACTTTCGTTTTGAATGACTTTCGAATCGATATGCCACAAATCATATATACACTCTACGACGTGCGATACAGGTTACCCGGAATGGTCTGTCAATATTTCTTGAATTAAATATGAATGCCGCAATGAGAATGAAACCTGAAATTTTATGATTGGATTATTGTATGTTTCATTCGCCTTGGATGATAAACTAACCAACATTATGGAATATATGGGAGCTCGGATTTCCTAATTTAAAAATACCTGGGTATTGTGTTTTGTTCAGGGCACGTGTATAAATTTAAAGTTTGTTATTGTAAAGCTTCATTCATCCTTAACCTGTCCTTCTGATTAATGTATTAGATATCAAGTACTATTGAAGCATTCAGTCATAACGCTTACTAAGACCAGCAGTTTTTGTTTTAGGTCGTATCATTCAAAATATGAATTTGTAAAGAAAAGGCTACAGATGTAATTTGATTAGCATTTTAAGACATGTGCTTTTTCAACTTAACGGAAGTACTTTTGTAAAATTTCCTTAGGGACAGGAAGAGCAAATTTGTGGAATATATCGATCTGCTTAACATCCAAATGTTAATGCTAATATTTACGGATGCGGTAAGTACAAATTTTAATTGCTCTTGCATAGAATTACTTACTTAAACAATATTAAGGTTTTCTTGTCAATGATACAGAATATGAACAAAATTTATTTTTATGCAACAATAGCTTGGTACTTCTACTTTACGAGGTAGTTAATTCTAAGCAAGTAGTTCTCCCTTTTAATGCTGCCTATCCTGCATATTTTTCTGAAAATATACCTTCCCAGACAAAATACAGCGATCATCACCAAGGCAATCATCGCATTTCTATTTTTAAATTTTATTGTAGTCCCTGCATTAAAAGTTATACTTCGTTTGCAATGCTTTTTAAAGACCCATGCAAAAGGACAGCTACTTTCAATGTGGTTCATTATTCCTTTTTTACAGCTTCGTTTTCCTACACAGTCTTTACCTTATTTGTTTACATAATGGTCATTTTAAAATTTGTAGGAGTCTCACACGAACTCATTCTCTACAACTAAATTCAATCAAAAATTGTTGACAAAACGCTTGACTAAGCACTACATAGGGAAGTAAGTGTGCCAATTAAATCCCGACGCAGCTAGCATTAGGACTTGTGTACATAAATTCTTTTTACACTATTTATAATCAACTCTGTGCATGCAACATAGGCAATATAAATTATGAAACGCTAAAAGAAATGCTGTCTTTCCAACTCCATTTCCAACTAAATACACAATTTTGTGTAAACGAAAAGAATATTTAATACGAGGGTAATGGAAGCTACATTTATTTCAAATCAGACCAACATGATTATACTTTTCAAAATATGACTATATACAACGTGCGATTATGGTAACGCCATAATGACGGATACGCGCCATCATAGGACTTGGTTGTTAGATTACCTTTACCGTCTTTTTCAAGTAAAATATCCAAGTATGAAACACGTGTGTCAGAATCTGCGGTATCTTTTATCTCAAGCTCACCAGGATATGTTGTATCGACAAAGGAATGGAAATTACCATAGTTAATTGACAATACGTCGTTGATGTATCTAAATGTCGAGTTGAAGGCCACAACAAGTGTTTTCTTTTCACACATAAAATTTGGCACAAATTCTGCTTCATATGAATACTAAAATAGGTCTGCTAATAACGGAGCGCAATTGGTACCCATCTGAATTCCAATCTTGGAAGACCTGGTCTCCAAAAACCACATAGATATAATTGTCAATCAGAAACTCAATCATCTTTTTGATGTCAACTTTAGAGTATACGTATGTGTGCAATCAGAGCGTGTTTTAACAAAATAATTTTGCAAATGACCAACGACCAGGTAAGTAAACTTACGAGTTCTATTTTTATTGAAAAAGAAAACATCATATCAAAAACATCTTATCAAGTCCCTTGTTTACATTCTTTCCTCTTTGAGTCTGGTGAATCAAAGTAACTGTCTCTACTGGGGATTTCCCCATTTTGAAGCAGAAATGGTTGTGGTTGGGTTTTTTTATGTCGACATTTCCTTTGTTCAATGCATTAGAGTAAAACAACAATGTTTACGAAAAAAAACAAGAAACCCACGAGCCTTATAGGTCACCTGAGTATTATGTAACAACTTTCCTACAACAAAATTTTGTTCGTGTTTTAAACAAGAGGCCATGAAATTCACAATTTTGAAAGAGGCACCATTGCAGCATTGCTTATCATAATCATATACTTAGCATGCTTACTCTAGTAACTTAATACCCAGATGTAGATCAGGGTAACAAAGAGAAAATGCATTTTAACTTTATAACCAGTTGTGCACCTTACCCCAGAGGAACCACTGATCCTGGGGCCACATATTTCAAAATTTTGGAAATTTTATAAATTTTATTTCATCATAAATGGTTGATTAATACCAAAGAGCAGATTTCAAACCATTAATTTATTTTCAGACTATGAATCCCCCTCCCCCGATACCCCTGACCCAGAGGACATGAAATTAACCATTTTGCTAGCTAGATGCACCTTTCTTCATCATAAATATATATACTACGATCATTGGCATAATACCCAGGAGCCATGGAAAAATTTTCGAAGAACTCATGCATTTTCACTATATAATCATTAGAGCCCCGCCCTAACACCAGAACCCCTAACCTAGACACCATGAAATTTTGGAAGAGGTATTCTTCCTCTTTCCTATCATAACTATGTACATAGTTCATTGGTTCAATACCCAGGAGCAGAGAAGAAGATTTCTAAAGAATCAATGTATTTTCACTATATAATCAATAAAGCCCCACCCTAACATCACAACCCACAAGCCAGAGGCCACAAAATTCACAATTTTGGAAGAAGCAGTTTTGCTCATCATAACTATATACTTAGTTAGTTTGTTTAATACCCAAGAGCAAAGAGGAAGATTTTTAAAGAATTAATGTATTTTCACTATATAAATAAAAGAGCCCCCTTACTTCAAAACCTCTGACCCAGGGGATATAAAATTCACAAATTTGGTTGAGGCACTCTTGATTATTATAACTATGTACTTAGTTAGTGTATTTAATACTCAGGAGCAGAGGGGAAGATTTTTAAAGAATTAATGTATTTTCACTATATAATCAATAGAACCCCGCCCTAACACCAGAACCCCTGACCCAGGGGCCATGAAATTCACAAGTTTTGAAGAAGCACTCTTTGTCATCATAACTATGTATTTAGTTATTTTATTTGATACCCAGGAACAGAGGAGAAGATTTTCAAAGAATTAATGCATTTTCACTATATAATCAATAGAGCCCCGCCCTAACACCAGAACCCCTGACCCAGGGGCCATGAATTTCACAATTTTAGAAGAGGTGCTCTTTTTTCATAACATATACACAAATATACAGAACCTTTCACTCATCCTTTCATATATGTTGGAAAAGAAGACCATAAGAATATATACAATAATTATTCAAGAACATTTTCAAAAATTAGACACATATTAAATAGACATCAAAAATTAGACACATTAAATAGACATTTTTATTTGGACCATTTTTTTTTTATAAAAAGTATTTTCTGATACTTTTTTTCTAAAGTATAGTAATTATATAAAACTCTCAAAATATCTTTGAAAACAATTCAAGAGTTGTTTCTGGATTGCTGAAATAAGTATTTCTTCACTAACAGAATTATCAAGTTTATAGCTATGTGATCTTTTTCAAAAATACCAAAAATAACAGTCTTTACATCAAATTCAATTCTTTTACCAGACTTTCGAAAAATCCAATCTGACAATGTTAGCCAAATCATAGAAACCTGTGGACAGTAAAAAAAAATAAATGTTCGATTGTTTCTGGTTCTTGTTCAAATAATGAACAAAGTGGAGAATCTTTAATTTTAGACAAGTGTAAGTATTTATTTGTACCTAAAATTCTACGAATAATTTTATAATTGAACCATATCAGTCCTGAATCTTTAGTTAAGTATTTGTTTTCACAAATAGGCCTCTTTAAGAGTCACTCTTGGACATCATAAATATGTACTTGGTAAGTTTGTTTAATACCCAGGAGCAGAGAAGATTCAAAGAAATAATGCACTTTTACTACATGATCTATATAACTCCACTCTAACACCAGAACCCCTGATCCAGGGGCCATGAATTTCACAATTTTGGTAGAGGACTCAATGCTGATTAAAATCATGCCAACAGTTTGACTGCATGATGTTCAGGAGAAAAGAAGATTTTTAAAGATTGCATTAACTTTAGTGGTTTTGGCCTCATCCCTCAGGCCCCAAGGGGGCAGGGACCATGAAATTCACAATTTTTGTCCCCCTTTACCCATAGATGCTGTATGCCAAATTTGGTTGAAATTGGTTCAGTGATTGCAGAGAAGAAGCTGAAAATGTTCAGAAGTTTACGAACGACGGACGAAAACAGATAGCAATAGGTCACCTGAGTTTAAAAATAGCGATGATGTCCTTTTTTTCAACTAAAGACTGGACAATTATGTAAATTTTGTTCTTAAAAATACTGGGCGATTAGGCGCTTTTGAAGGATGCTTTTTCATGTGTTTGTCTTTAAATCGTGACGTTTGGTTGTGACGCGGCAACACCCCAAATGTTCTATGTTCTTGTTATTTAATCTAATTCTGGTAGTAACGCTGTATTTGATTGGATAAAAAATCACTTTATATTGTATAAAATGGTATGCCTACATCACAATGACTTGCGTCAAAAACGTATCAATCTGCCTGATGTTATATTTAAATTTTATACAAATTGAAGTCATTTTTTAAGGACAATCACCTTTCTTTCCTACATCAACTGAATGAAAATTATAAGGAATGAATTTAATAGCTACCCATTTTATACGGTATAAACTGGTTTGAAAAATTTTACACTTTTTTTATGAATCACTTTATTCCTTATTGTTAAATGAAAATTTTAATTAGATTTATATATGAAAGACTCCAAAGTCCGATGGTGACGCCAGAGCCCGATAGTCTCGCCAAACCTCGATAGTCTGGGCCAAACCCCGATGGCTTGTTGTCAGTACGGACGCCAATGTCAGATGGCTCGTTTCCTATGAGACACGCTGCGCTAAAATGCGAATGTCTGACACGTACGCCATGTCAAATTCCGATGATGCAGAGAAACAATCAACGTTTATGACGTCACAATAGTCCGACGTCAATCCTTGACACCGGTGTCCATTTCAAAAGCGACAATTTTTTAACTCGTCCTCGCATACAATTTTATTGATTTTGCTTACCCCGGTATTGCTTGCACCTTCCAGATTAGGATAACTCCTCGCACACCACTCTACAGATGAAAGTTAGTCTTTGATTCGCAGAGAGATTTAGTGTTAGTCCTAACACACTAGTTGAGTGATAAGAGAATGTCTCGAACCCACCCAAGAAATCTAGGTTATAGTTTTTACACACTTTCCGACCGAATAGGGTTAGTCACGCACCTTATCTAGAAATGAGAGTTAGTTTTTGCATAATTATATTTATTTATACTAATTAAAGACATCGGCATAGCGCGGTATGGCAGTTTGGCCCAAAAGTACTTTGGCGTCATAAGCGTTAATTGTTTATCGCACCACCTATCTTTGGCGTGTCAAACTATTATCGGGGTTTGTCGCAAACCATCTGACTTTGGCGTGATCACATCGCACTTTGCAGTCCTATATGTGCATCTTTTGGTATATTACATTTGATAATATAGCTGCATTCTGAAATTGTAAAATATATAATCTCATTTGGCATTTGTAATAAATGCTCTATACACACACACATCCTCTTTATTATTTAACATGCTGCAGAACAGAGCTGCAAATGTGCTTCAGGTTCATATGAACCAAATTGTTCATCAGTTTTAGTACTTAAGAGCACATAAATAACAAAATATAAAAGATATGTGCATCTTTTGGTATATTATATTTGATAATATGACGTTAAATATAAAAAAGATATGAACACTGTGACATTACTTTTGGATGAACCCTCGTATTATACCTATATTACATGATCGTCGTATGAAGATTTATTCAGCCAGGAAAAATCGTATTCTCCGAGAACTTCGCCCGAGTTGAAAATGATATTTATTGGCTGAATAAATTTTTGTGTTTCATGAACCATGCAATAAATTGTTGAATGCATGTATGATAAAAATAACAGCAAGTAAGGTAAGTTGACGATGGGAAAGCTGAATTCATCTCGTCAGTTGCCCTCCGTCGTCTGTAATCGGTATATATCCAGGTATGAAATAGATGATTTAATCTATCGATAGGAAGCGTAGAAATGTCGCATATTTTGATATAAGACTGTCAAAAAAGAGTATATTGATTTTTCTAAAATTTATTTGGATTTTTTAGAATCCAGGGATTTACACCACTTCTAGGAGATGCTGTAGAACAGAACACGTGCAGATTTCCCTTAAAAGCAGTTCATTTTTGTATGGATCAAAGGGGTTAAGTAGATCATTTGACTACCCCTGCAATGCATCTCTTTTGTAAAGATTTTAATGAAGTTAAGGAATCTAATATAGGTATGGTAGATCGAACTCGCCTTGCTTGACTGCAATGTTAAACGTTTTAAATACTTAAATGCCTTAAATAAATCTATTGTGGGTAATTCTAGTACTTTTTTTAGAAATGGTAATCCCATTTATGCAAAGTAAAATTGGCCAGATTAAATTGCATTTAAAAGTTATTAGAAGTGATGAAGTGGAAAATATGCCGATATTTTCGGATGCTAGAATAAATTACTTATACAGTATGTTGTATGTGTACTACATTCCTCGTCTTTTAAAAGGTTAATATTGATTGAAATCACTGAGATTCATTTGATGATTCATATTTTCCAGAAGGATGCGGGTTTCACTGAAGAGCATTTTTAACTTGGTATGCACTGCATTTGCTGTGTACACCCTTTTATTCATCTTAAACATCTTGTCTTCGTCCCCTCATCAAAGAACAAATACCAATGCAGGTAAGACATACCTCACATTTTATATGAGTGATTTTTCGGTTTTTAACACAATACCTGTTCAAAACAGCTGCAAAGTTAGGCCTTTTGTATAGATTAGAGTGGTTATCTTTAATTATTATTATCATTATTTTATATCTATTTATTTGGTTGAAATTAATTTTTTCTTAAAAGAAAGTCATTTGGTAATTCCTCCAAATCATGAGTATCTATACAACAAATTGTAAATGTTAATTTATCTTTATATTAACTAGTATTGCCTTTAAATCGACTTGTATTTACCTATTTAATAAAGCCAAATGCAAAGGCGATATTTTGCACTGATTTTGACATGTCTCAGTATGTACTCTTTAAAAAACAAAAAACATCATTTCAAAATTGCATGAAATAGTCATTATTGATTCTTTTGATGAGTATACGTGGAACACTTATTTCTTAACAGTTTTAAAAACGTTGCGCCAAGAGGCAGAAAATGAGCAGATGACTGTCAAGTCTACTGTTAAAACAGACATCACAATCAGAAATGATATTATAGTGAGTATTTCATCAACTCTTGAGAAAAAACATGAGTTAGCAAAATTAAATTGTACACTGTAGGTCCCAAATGGTTAAGGAATTAAAAACAAAAACACGCACGAATACCCAAAAAACAGAACAAATAAAACAATATACACACACTTTTGCGTAGGTTTCACAATGGTTTTATAAACAGAATAAAGAGCTGATAATCTCGAGTACAAATTTACTTTATATCTTTTCTGAAAGGTTAAAGATGAGAAAAATGATATTTCATTTCAACATTCCAATGAATTTGCCTACACGACTTAAAATATCAGGTCAAGAAGTCAAGAACATATGATTTTGAAATTTCAAAAAGCAACACGCCATAAGTGTATCGATTTTCTAAAAAACCAAGGTTTACTTATAACTAAAACCTAAGTCGATAACTATTATTTATACCAACCAATAAATCAGAAAATTATTTACACAGAACTTAAATGTTTTTAGTTTTCATTAGTTTTATTATTATGTAGGACGATATCCCTGAAGCAATAACTGAAGAGAATGCTCATGAATTTGACCGTAAATTGCTGCAAGACATGTTCTTTAAAATAAATCACAAAGAGGCACTACTTTATGGAAAATTCAGAGAGAAAAAAGGTGCGTGATTAATGATGAAAACTGTAAACATAATGATCAAATCATGTTTTTTTTCAGAGAAAACAAGACATAGATTAAAAGAATTGTAGTCCTACATAATAACGACGATCAGACAAAATATGTATTGTTGACATTTTCTTTTTATCAACACATCTGAACATTTACAGGATTTCTTACTATTGGTATACCATCTGTAAAACGAAAAGACGTTTCCTACTTGGACACCACCCTGGCATCTCTAATCGAGCACTCTCTTCCCCATGAACGTGAGCATGTGGTGATAGTACTTTTTTTAACGGACAGTAATCATACGTGGGTTGTAGAACGAGCAAACGAAATATATAAACAGTATAAAAAACACGTACAAAGTGGCTTTCTGCAGATTGTTCATCCACCGCATATAGCATATCCAAACTTCCAATATCTGGAGAGAAAATATAATGACAGTATGACAAGAGTGGCTTGGAGGAGTAAACAGAATCTGGACTATTCTTACCTGATGACCTACTCCAGAAATATGTCACAATACTATCTACAGCTCGAAGATGACGTCATCACTACAACGGGATATCTTTCCAAAATCAAATCATTTATTAGCCAAAATTCAAAGAAAACATGGTTATTTCTTCGTTTTTCTAAATTGGGGTTTATCGGCGTTCTCTTTAAAAGTTTCGATTTACCTAAAGTAGCTGAATTTTTATTGGTTCTTTTCGATGAAATTCCAGGTGATTTGTTAATAAATGAACTGAAGCGTATCAAAGGTCAACAAAAGGACATTCGCAAAAGACCTTCATTATTTCAACATCTTGGATTGATTTCTTCTTTGGAAAATAAGATTCAAAAGATCCAAGATAAAGATTTTCCTGGATATGTCAAACGTAAGAGTATAGGATGGACACCGGAATCCAAAAATCCAGAAGCCGAAATTTATACAAACATGTCGGCTTACAAGACTTTCCAACCAGAGGCAGCATATTATCCTGAAGATAAAAACGATTACTTCTGGGCTGTGAATCCTAGGAACGCGACTTTTTACAGAATAATTTTCAAGAAACCTTTAAATATCACAACAATATCTATAAAAAGCGGCAATGAAAAACATAAAGATGACAAATTGACGTCAGCTTCCGTCAGTGTGTCTTCTTTTGTTCAATCAAAAAGTGACAGATGTGAAAAGAGGACTAAGATAGGATTATTTGAACAAGGAGATTTTGTTTTTAATTCAACTAATAGTAAACTTTTGAACAACATTCGATGTGTGTCTATTGATATTCACGAAGACCAAAAGACATGGGTGGTTCTACGTGATATCATAATAAAAACAAGGTGATATTAACAAAAAGGTCGACTTTTCTATCTGTGTTCAATTCTATATTTTATCTACCCTTACTACCCAAGGCCTCGTCTTTCAAGTAGACTGCAAATTTTCAACTTGCGTTGTTTCTTATATTTAATTGTCATGTATTTTATTGTCATGAGCATTTTTTTTATTATTTTGTTTTGCAATATTCTAAATGTTCTTCAATGTTGCATATTGTAAGAAACTTTGATTAATAATATTGTTTAATAAAAGAAAATATTAAATAAAGTACTAGTTGATCGTTTTCACAAATTCAACGAGTGATTTAACAGTTAGCTTGATTTGTATAAATGTACATGTATAATTACCTACAATATATTTAATTTTACTTCAAAATCGGCTTGCTTATTCCGATTTCGTTTTGATATGATATTCATATTACAAGAATTGATATGAAATAAAAATATTCTTTGATATTTATCCACCTTTTCAAAATAACAAGAGGGACTTTTCAATTGTCTTTCAATAACAACACTCCTCAATTATTACAGAAATGTTCTTTAATTGATTCTAAGATCTATATCATTTGATTTCTCCTCTTTCAGTAAGGATACATAATTCAGGAAAGCAATATTTTCTATTGATTTTTAATTTACAGATCCACAACACATTAAACTTTGGCTGTATGTTAGTATTTATTTAAGAATAATGACCTGAGTTACGTCATATTTGTTTATACTCCTATAATTCCTCATTTGACTTTGTATTCATGTGTGTAAATATGTTTCTGTTTATTTACCTCATACACAGTTGTACGGTTACAGAGAAATTTCAAAATAAGTTCTTTCCAACTTGTAAGATTCCATAAACTACATATGTAAAGCTATCTACTGATTTTTAAACAATTAAATGTTTTAAAATTAAAAAAATTTATATCTTATAAAAATTTATATTTAAACTTACTCAAAATCAGATACTGCATGATTGAAATTTATAGAGATAACGAACTGTATTCAAGCTCAAAAGTCCATCAATTAAACATATCAGGAGAAGAACTTTAACTTCAGAGTGGGTTCAGATGCCTTGGAGGAGTGAGAATCCCCTGCCAAATGCAACCAGTGAACTCCTTGTCAAGATAGAAAATTAACAGAAAAAATCGTGGATAATTCAGTGTGTAAATAATTGCCAAACAATTTGTATGAAAAACATAATTCAGTATTTGACTAAATGATTGAATTTACCGACAAGGTAAACGTATCGACAAGAATATCAACAGTCTCGTTTATTTTGTAATAACATACGAAATGATGACTTTAAACAAGGGTATTAGTATTCTTGTATCATCAACTTGTTAGTGAATAATTTGCCTTGTTTAAGAAACCGTTTAGAAACGTAGATGTTCCTGCGTATCTTGTTAACTGAGAGATATAAAAATCATATGCGGGTGATAAGGGTATATTGCTGTATAGTCAAGGGAAGTTGACGATTGAAAAGTTAATGACATCACGTGTATCATGGAGTAAATTATTTTCAAAGAGACAATATAAAGAACTTTATTGATTTTCCTTTTACAAGAAAAAATTAACTATATAAATAGCAAATACGCTCTTTTATGAATGCATTTTTATCTTGAATATGACATAAACTCGAAACTTACGCTATCTAGCTCACTATCTAGCTCCCTATCTAGTAGAGATTTTCTAATCAAAAGTCTCTTGCATGTCGTTGTTGTTGTTGTTGCAAACGTTTCACAATTCCATCCTCAGCTCTATGATAAACGTGATGACTAACTTTTCTATCGTCAACTTCCCTTACTTATGCAGCAATATATCTTCATCACCTGCATACGGCGTTTATATATCTCAAATGATTCGATACTCAAGAGCATGCTCTACGTATGAACAATTTCTAAAAAGAGGTAAATTATTGACAAACAAGTCATTGAAACAAGAATATCAGCAGTCTCGTTTAAAGTCATCATTTTGTAAGTTCTTTGGTCGTTACAATGACCTTCGTTCAAAATATATTTTATTCATTGAATTGGATTGAACAGCAGGCATAAATGCCTATGATCGTTCTCTCCATAAATATTACAATGACCTTGTCAGCAAAAACAATTTATCATTGAGTAAATGCCGACTGACGTTTTTCATACTTATTGTATGTCCATTATTTATGCACTGAATTGACGACAGATTTTTCCGTTATTTCCCGATCATGACAAGGAGCAAACGGCGGGTGTGACCGGTGGGCAGGGGATGCTCACTTCTCCATGACACCTGATCCAACCTCTGATAATTTAGAGGTCCGTGTTTGCTCTCCTCCTATTTTGTATTGTTTTATGGACTTTGATGTTGAATACTGTTCGTTATCTCCATATCCTTCACTACTCCAGAACCAGTGGGTGAATTTAAACCAAACTTGACAAAGTGTATTCCTGGTAATCATGGTAGAAGGGAATTAAAGTTTGTCCATTTGAATGACTACACCTTACTAGGGGAAATGATAAAGAAAGAGTAAATATTTTCTTAATCACCACTGGGCCAGAAAATTCGAATTTTTGTAAATGCTTTCAAGATTTAATTTTGTTCAAATCATGACGCCAATGTAATAATGATTATTATTTATATTGTAGCATCCTCTGCTGGCGTAAATTCTAAATTGTTCAAATCCTTACCCTTTAAAATGGCGATCAGTTTCATTGAAAGAAAGTATAATATAAAATTTAAAATATCCACTTACAGAAAATGCTTTCAGTCAGCTTCGACTAGGTGATCTGAACTATTTATTGTAAGGTTTCAAACTGAATTTGAGCATTTTGACTTGTAAATGCTCAAAGTTTCATTCATTTAAAAATCAGTTCACTTTCAAACCTCTTTCCCAAATGTCATCTATATTAAGTGTTAATCAGGGAGGGGTAAATCATTCTGTAAGATGAGAAAGAAAAATGAAGATTTCGTTGTACATGTACTTTCTTTTTTTCTCACCGTGGTGGATTTTACTCTATACTACAGACTCCACGCAGGAACTAGTTGGGGGGAGCTTCTCTTCAACACCTGTACCTTATAGACTGAAATGACAAACTTTCAAATACCTTTTTCCCAAGTTTTTAAAGTCCTATTTTGATTGAGCATAACACAATAACACAATTGTCCCGACTCTAATAGTTCAAATATTAAACAAGAGGCCCAGGGGCCACAGCGCTCACCTGAGCACATCGGCTAGGAAAAAGCACAAATCAGATCAGAACTAAAAGTTTACTGAGATTGGGGGGTTGAATTTTAACCCCCCAGGGGATCATGATTTGAACTAACTAAAATCTACATTACCTGAGGATGATTCCATATACATGTAAATATTACTAATCATGGCTTTGAAGTACTTGAATAGAAGATTTTAAAATGTTTCCCTATATATTCCTTTGTAAAACTTTGGTTGGCCATTTTGACCCCACCCTACCACCGGAGGTCATGATTTAAACAAAGTTGAACCTTCACTACCTGAGGATTATTTCACATGAGTTTCATCTTTCCTGTCTCAATGGTTCTTGAGAACAAGATTTTTACAGATTTTTTCCTATATATTCCTATGTAAAACTTTGGTCGGCCATTTTGGCACCACCCTACCCCCGGGGGTCATGATCTGAACAAACTTGTATCTACACTACCTGAGGATAATTCCGCATAAGTTTCATCTTTCCTGGCCCAGTGGTTCTTGAGAAGAAGATTTTTACAGATTTTTTCTTATATATTCCTAAGTAAAACTTTGATCGGCCATATTGGCCCCACCCTACCCTGTGGGGTCATGATCTGAACAAATTTGAATCTACGCTACCTGAGGATGATTCCACATGAGTTTCAACTTTCCTGGCCCAGTGGTTCTTGAGAAGAAGATTTTTTAAAAATGCCATTAATTTTTAACAAATTCATGATTATCTCCCCTTGGAAGAGGGAGTGGCCCTTCATTTGAACAAACTTGAATCCCCTTTATTCAAGGATACTTTGTACCAAGTTTGGTTGAAATTGGTCCAGTGGTTCTTGAGGAGAAGATGAAAATGTGAAAAGTTGACGACGACAACGACAACGACAGACGACGGACAAATTTTGATCAGAAAAGCTTACTTGAGCCTTCGGCTCAGGTGAGCTAAAAATTACGAATCAATTTCATTATTAAGCACTAATATGACTTGCAACAGTTTCCTCTAAGTACATATCCAACGAATATTTTAAAATAGAAAGAAAAAGGCATTTAAAAGTACATTTGAATTGAAATGAACCAAATCGATTTTTCTGTAAGCAGAATTGGCTATAAATACACCTCTTGGGCCTTCAAAAAACATCTCGTATTATATCAATTTTTAACAGATAAGACTCTCACATACTCAGGAAAAAGGGTTGAGTCATCGATAAAATAATAGTTTTTTTAGCGAGTAAACTATTTTCTAATCATTAAATACCTTGTAAACATTTTTTAAAGAAACAGGTACCGCTGCACTGAGAATAGGATTTTACGATTTTAGAGTGACTTATCTTATAATTTCCTAAAATTTAAATTTTGGGTTGAAACCCAATGATCTGAACCATATACATACATGTATATAGGAAGGTTTCAAACTGCATTTGGCAAATATTGACTTGAAGACACCCAAATTTAACAAATTAAAAAAATCAATTTACTTTCGAACCGTTTTACCTAAGTATGGTCTATATTAAATATTGATAAAAGTGGAGCATTTTTCATTATATGGCTCTCAATGTGCTTCAAGGTTCTTTGAACTTCTCAGAAAGGTCTAATTAGAAGTAGAAATTTTTATCCCGAAAAAGCATTTTTAGATTCCAATGTTTATTAACATGATATGAAAATAGAAGTAATTCATGGAGCTTTGCAAAGAACATTGAAGCACATTGAGAGGCATATAATGAAAATTGTTGCATGAAAATATTTAATTTTCAAGCTTCATTTAAAGACTTTTTGAATTAAATTATAAATTAAAGAGTTGTCCTTCCTGGCTAAGGGTCGGGGTCCCTTAAGAAATAGAAAGAAAGAGGATGATTTTGTTCTAATTGAAAACTCTCACCGGAATGGCTCCTACGCTATAGTACAGACGCCAACAGGGGAACTGGTCATTGGGGAAGAACCTACTAGTACTCTTCAGCACCAGTGCTAAATATCATTAAATTAATTATATCGATATAAAAATGCAATATAACAAGTTTGACATGTATATTACTCATTATTAAAATTGTTTAATTGATACATGTAACTTTCCTTTAACTTATTTGAGATCTACGAAAGTCATACAAATATTCAAATACCTTTTACCCAAATTTTTAAATCATATTTGAATCGAGCATTACACAATTTGTCCCGACTTTAATGGTTCAAATATAAAAATAAAAAACAATGACGAATCAATTTAATTATTTATTACTAGTATGACTTGCAACATTGTGTTATAAGTGCATAACAATGAAAGTATTTTACAAATAAAAAGTTGAAGGCTTTGAAAAAGTAGATATGGTATTGATTTATCCACATGGATGATGATTTAAGCAAATTTGGCCATAAATTCAGTCGTTGGAACTTGTTGAGAAAATTTGTTTCATATTTGATTGATTTTGAACAGATAATTATAAAACCAATTGAGGATAATTTTTTTAAACTGCATTTGATGATGAATAGCGTGAGTCTGTGCCTCAGTATTAATCATGCATGCTTAAATTGTGTAATGTTTCATTTCAAAGGGAAAAAAGGAATAAAAACTAGAAAATCAAATAAAAATTGTATGAAAATAGAGATATATCAGCAACCGGGGTATTTTCTGCGGAATGTCATTTAGGACTTATCAAGTATATTTTTGAATTTGATTTAACAAATTGTTGAGTTTGTTATAAAGAATTTAATCGTTGTAACAATTACTTTGAATTCGTTGAGAACGAATTCAAAAGTCTGTTATGATGAATTAAATTCGTTAAAACCAATTCTAAAATTCGTTATGACGAATTCAATTCGTTGCATCGAATTCAAAAAATCAGGACCTTTAGAAATATTTATACGAATTCCATTAAACGATACAGTTTTTCGAATTTATTTTATTACATTAAACGGTTTGAGAATTCATTTAAGAATTTAAGATTCCTTTATCAAAGATGAAATAACCTTAAAAGCAAAGGTTACTAGTTGAATTATTGTGTCAAACATAATAACAATAGTACTGCGTGATTAGAATTTTATTTGGCTGAATGGGCCACGGCCGCTTAAATGCAGGAGCCGAGGCATCAATATACTGCCTTTTGTAATGACATCCTTAGAAAAAATGTGAACTCTGGGCACAGATGTCCACTGACTAGTCCATACTTAAAAACATTATTTAAAATGTTGAAAAGGAGTTCAATGAGCCTACTGGTAAGCCCAACATATGCATGCCTGGCGTGAACTGCTGGTATGTAAGGTTGCTCCAATCAGGCGGCCGTGACGAGGGATTCGTTGTAATGATGCACCTTGGCTTGAAAAATACAATCTGAAACGATAAATAATACTCGGCAGGAAAAAAGAAAAGCAGAGACAAAAAACTGTGAACAAATCTTCGGAGAAACCATACAAATGTGAACTATATGAGGCCAATTTATATTGAACTTAACATGCAATTCTAAAAATCCTAGTCGACCCTTGTTTGATAGGGATGGGAGGGTAGGTAAAAGTTTCAGCACAGACTGATGACGAATAAATGCCGTGACGTCAGAGTTCCCTTGCTAGGTGCTACTAATATCCCCAAACTATAAATGGAACTGAAAATACCGTACAAATTGCTGAATGAACCCAGTGCATTTTCGACCAGATCAGATCGCAATTATTTATTTCACTTTGATAAATAGATTAATAGATTAAACCTTTAGTGGTTAAATCTCATTATAACTCAGGGAAAACTCTATGGGTTTAAAACAAACTAGAGGCACTGTGAGCACGGAGCTCACTAGATGGTAATCCCACCTCCAATATGATTATAATGGCGAAGTCCATGTTTTGCTGAATTCGAAATAAGTGTCAAATCAAACTGTGAAATAGGAGGTGCACAATTGCATTATGTTATAGAGAATCTGTTAAAACATCATTAAATTTTGTTCAGTGGTATATGAGGAGTTGAGAATAATATACGGGTACCCTTCAATATTATCCATGTTTTGCTATGGGAAACCCAATATATGTGTCCGATCAAAAAGTGAAATAGAGAGTCACAGTAGCACTAGTTAAAAAAGATTCTGTGAAAGTTTCATTAAATTTCAATCAGTGTTATAAAATTTTAAAACTAAAATGTATGATCATTTTCAAATATTAATTGACAGCTTCAGATATCATATCTAAAAAGCTAAAGTAAGTTAGGCCTCTATCTGATGGTTCATTTGTTTACCCCAATCTCCTTAATTGAAAAATATTATTTGCGTTAAAAAAAAAGTTAATGCTGCAAACAACATGGATCTTACAGCAAAGGTTTTAATAATAAAGATTTTAAAATCCACTTATTACTGCATAAAATTACATGTTTCTCATATTTCAGCCTACATTTATGATTGATAATGTAGGTAAGAAAAAGTTATCAATATCCTAAATCCAGTAAACAAAAAGAATCATGAAAGGGGTAAAAAAAAATTCCCCTTGATTATCAGAGCGGGGATCAAGTGCCCAGATGGAGTAAGCAGCCTCTGGCCAAAGGACACGTCCGTCACACCTGTCGTAATCTTGTGAACGGAGAAATGCATCAAATGGTATAAATCACTGACCATACAATCGATGGGAAATACGACACAGCGATAGGAAGAATGTCCTAAAAAGTCATTTTCATAACCATCAAATTTACGAAATGCTGAATTTAAATACGATTGTTAATACTCTGTAACGAAAATTATTTGATATTAGCTTGTCGGTTTGAAAATCGGGAAAACAGAGAAATCTGTGAACAAAATTGAAACAGAATATCATTCTAACAAAGTCTTTGCAATTCAAGTCTTTGTAATTCAGGCCTTCTTTGCAAATTTCCAAATATATAGTTATTAAGGAAAACTAGTAGTACTGCCCAAGTTTGTAATTTAACATCATTTTTGCTTTGTAATACCGACATTTAAATACTAGTAATTCTTTAGTCTAAACAGTCACGCGGTAAGCAAATTCAGTCTCTCATTAAGTCGAATAGATGTATTATCATTTACCATACCAATTGTCAGGTTCATTTTTTTCACACTGAATTTTTTGTGGATTTTTTGTTTCCTTGATCATAATAAGGAGCACAGAACAGGTTTAAGGATTTCTCTTTCTCGAACCCTGATTCCTTCTCAGATGAATTTAGAGACCCAAGTTTGTTCTGCTCTCAATTTGTATTTATCCTTTGGAGCTTGATTACTAATCCTTATTTCTTTGTAAAGGTTTTCGTAAATTCCATATGCATCATAAATAATCGTATAAATATATTTCAAGAAAATAAAAATGAAAACACATTGAACTGATACGATTAAGTTTATTAGACTTGTTTTAAATTATTTTCGTTATAGCCAATATTATTTTTTTTTTAATGGTTATCTAATGCATGCACCTTTTTGATTTTTTATGATTAATTAGGTCTCGACGAAGCTGAATTGCATTTTAAATACACTTATTACCTTATTTTCTGAAACGGATCATGGTTTTAAAGTGGTGTTCTAATAAAATTATTTAATTTTATTTCAGAAGAGAAAAATCATTATAGGCCCCTATTCACAAAGATTTAACACGGACGGTGTTAAGTTCAATCACTTTTTGAACAACTGGCCCCAGATAACTAAGGAAAAACGCTTTCTTTTATGAAATAAGAAATTCATCAATAGTTTAAACATAATGAAACTTCAGCCTCTGTGAATTTGATCTAAAATATTTCATTTAAGATGTGACAAAGGCATTTCTATACCCCTCGCTTGAAAGTGGGAAAGTATATAGTGATAGGGATGTCCGTCTTGCTGTACGTCCGTCCGTCTCTTACGCTTAGGGGTTCCATCGCTTTTGGGTACCCATCTTTTATATCACTGCATGAAATTAAATGAGATTTTTACGGAATATTTGTTATATAATGTCATTGTGCACTTCCAATTTCATTATTTTTTTTATCCGACTCATATATTGGGTTTCCCATTGCAAAGCAAGAACACTGCCATTCTTTAATAATATTGAAGGGTATCCATCTCTTATACGCAACTACTCCTATGCCACTAAATAAAATCTAATGATACTTTCACAGATTCTATATAAATTATCCTCATCTCATGGTTTTTAAATCTCATTATCAAATGGAGGACGTTGAGGCAAACTTAAACTGATTCCCTGGGTTCCTGTAGGTGTTGGAAGATACCTCGCTTCTAAACAGATAGCAATTCAATAGTAATCATATTGGAAGCAAAGTTGCAGTTAGTTTCATATTTTTTAACCCCACCCCACGCTACACATACACATCTTAGGTAGATATTGATTTTTTTTTGTCTTATTCAATTTTCTCCTTGCCGAATGTTCAATACAAATTATGAATAAGTAAAGTAATGTGCCAAAAATCTTCAATGACAACATATCAGGAAAAACTAGGAATAAAAAACGGATGTTTGTTATCTAAGGGCTTTTCCTGGCCGTTCACTTTTCAAAAAGATGTGTAAAGATAACTAGGCCATAGTGCAACAAACATGTATTAATGCTAATACGCCTTTTATATTCTTATTGCAGCAGTCTATTTTGTGTAAGTTTAAACAATTAACTGTGATTTAATTTCTTTTTTACAAATAATTTAACCGTCAAATGAGTGCTTTTAATGCACTCATCTGAATTTAGCTACTTGTGATGGCAATTGACTGGATATGTTTTAATCATCACTGTGTGCAATCAAACGCTGCGCTTCTTTGATGACGTAATGTCTTTGTTTAGCTTCATCTTGTTTCAAACAAGGTAAATTTTTAATTTGTTGTGAGAGGGAAATTTGCAAGGTAAGTACACTGATTGCTTATATCTCTTAGCTTGAGTATTTCAAAAATGTTAAAAGATTCTTTTTCTATTTCGATTTTTAGCCTTCCTCTTGCTCCATGAGCCACAACCATTAAATGAGATGATACTTAAATCAAAATTGAGTTTTTTTTGTTTTGTTTTTTTCACTTTTTTCACTTTTTTTATTATCTTGACTCTAATATCAAACCTGATGTAAAATCCTTAAATTGTTCAAATCTGATGAAAATTAAAAGTTATACTAATTTCACATAAGGAGTTTGACATAAGGAAACCTCATACTACCATATTAAGACCTATCAATGTTTGGGGTTTTTTTTTCGCTTTTCATTCACTGTCACTGACTCAGTTTGTTTAGTTTTATTCCACGAATGATCATTTTCATCTATAATTTTGAAATAAAATTCCACATATCCGTCATAATCGAGGACCAAATAAAGCTGTTTTGAATTAACATTTCTTCATATCAGTACTTTTAATGAAGCCCTTCTTGCTTTGAAGAACAATTCGCCAGGAAAATGCACTCGAATGTTGTGGTTTGAAATAAAATTGGCATGTGAATGAGTATGTTTATAAATTAGCAAATGACCCTTTCGATCATCTTGTCAAATCAAAAAGAACAAATATCAGTTCATCCCTGTATACAAATGTTCTCCTCAGTAACTAAATGACCCCGTTAACCCTCCATCAATCCCCGTTATATCAATAAAATGATATTTACAAAAAAGCTGAATGTAATTGTAAATGTTTCTTTGATAAATTAATACATGTTCATTTATTTTTTGCCCAAAGTGTTATGTGATTGAGGAAATTGCTCAGTTTAGATTATCAATCGATCCATAAGGTGTCGTTATAAATTTTAAGTTCATGGCCAGGTCCTGCACTCGGACATCTTATATTATATATATATATATAGGTTTTTATTCATTATACGTGTAATAGAGAACAGGGCGGACAAGATGCCCTTGTCTCCAGGATTAACTTGCTCTTTTTATATGTTTTGTTTGTATGAGTATTGTAGTCATGAGATATTTTAAAAATTTCATCTAATCTGTAAGAGCACTGCTACAAAATGTATTTATGTGTAAAATATCCACATTATCGAAAACAAATCTTAGTTGTCAACTGTAATCGTGAATTCACCATCCAATCAAGTCACATCAGTTTTTATACCTTCATTAGTCTATATTTTATATTTTGTATATCTTCAGTTTTGTTAACTTGTTACTTCAAGGAACATGCGACTTATGCCAAGGAATAAGTATATTGCTCTCTGCTTCCTCGCCATTGTATTCATGTTGATCACCATGCTAACTGACTCCAGTCGAAACCTCGGTATGTATGAATTCATGAAAGGAGATGGATTTCAGTTTACAATAATTTAACAGTTAAAAATAACTCATGCTGGAAAATGAAATTTTAACGACTAAGACAATGTTTTAAATTATTATCGGTAGTCTTTTTTTTCATTTTTAGTGCAGTATAAATCGGGTTTAACCATTTATGGAGTTTAAATGGGTATGAAGAGCGGCACATGAACATAATAACATAGATACCTTACACATGCTTTAAACCAATTTTTTTATATGAAATGCACAGGTCTGAATTTATACTAAATTTCATACAATATTCTTTCTATGCATGATTTGATCATGTCTATTCACTGAATCTTATCAACATACTTACAGGAAACATGAGGACGAAATGGATCAGTGAAATCCAACAAAGAGTAATGCTCAAGGTAAGTGCATGTAATCAAATGAATAATACACTTAGACATCATTGCTTTATACGCAGCCCTCATTCTCATTTATATTTATAAATTTATAACTTTTCTCCTGCCGAAAAAAGTAAATTTAAAATGTCATTTGTATTTGCCAGTGAGCCAAATTTAATATGCAAGAGTCAAATCAAAACCCAGAAAATTGGTCTGAAAATTATTCAGCCAAAACAGACTAACTGATTAAGTTAGGTTTGTTAACAAAATCATTATAAAAAACAAAGAATCTTCAAATTACTGATTGCTACCGAGGTTGTTGACATTTTGTGGTATGAACTTATTTATCAGTAGCCTGCTTCGGTTCAAAATACTGATTGTAAACAGAGCATGCTATTGGGTATCAATTACTATATGAGACATAAGCTCAATATATAGATACTAGTTGGATATAACTGTATGTCGAGTTGAAGGGTACAGTACATCAGGGGGTCATCATCTTTTGTAGGTTTTTGTTAAAGAAATTCTTCTTCATGAGGTTTTAAGGTAGGATTCTTCTATGGTTTCTGACTGGATGAAATATTTCAAGTACATTTGCTTATATGTGTTATATATATTTAGGTGTAAGAGGTTTGAAAGACCATATTTTTCTTTCCTCATAATTGTACAACTTTAAATAGAAATGGTAAATCGCGTTTGAAAACTAGCAGGGCCTATATTTTTGGCGGAATGGTGGCGTATGAAAATATCTTCTTTTCTGCCTCTTAAAATTATTATAGAACAATGAATTTAGTTATAATTTTTATACAATCGAAGACTTGCAGAAATTTTCAAATGTAAGTTTATTTAATAAGGGACTAAAGTTCCTATTTATATATCAAATAAATATTAATTTTCAAACAAACTAGAACTATATTAGCTTTTATAAGCTTCCAATCTGAGGACAGATTTGAGCCAAAATCCGTAAAAAGTTGTTTTTTTTCTCTTAGTAAACGATCAAAACTTCTCGTTTTTGTATCATTTTGAATTTTTATGTGACAACTTTACTATATGTGAAAATGAGAAAAAAATAAATATAGGAAGCATATGAAAACTAGAGGTACTGTGAGCAGTAAGCTCACTAAATGATACCCCCCCCTCCCATATGGTTATAATGGTAAAGTCCATGTTTTGCTGTGGCCGGGAAACTCAAAATATGTGTCGGATCAAAAAGTAAAATAGGAGGTGCACAATGGCAATATGTAATAAAGATTCTGTGAAAGTTTCATTAAATTTCGCTCAGTGGTATAAGAGGAGTTGCGGATAAGAGATGGTTACCCTAAACCGTAACAGACAGACGGACGTACAGAGGACGAACGGACGGACATACTGATTACAGTATACCCTCCCACTTTTCAAGCGGGGGGTATAATAACAAATATATCCTAAAAATTTAAGAAAATTAGAGAAAATTTAGATTTGCCAATATCTATCTTATTAAAATTATTAATGTCAATTTGGTTCATTTTATAGGTCTTTTATGGTAGCATGTTTCATATGCAAAAGGAAAATATTCAATCTTTTGAAATACAAGTAGGGATCGCATAATTGGCAACAGTATTTTTTTTTATTATTAATGTCAAGGGAAAAGGTAATGATGTTGACCTGACCTTGCCTCTAATATAAAATGGTCAAATTTTATCTCACTGAAACCAGTGACATTGTCTTCCTGATTCTGTGAAAATTTCATTAATTTTTAAATACAAGAAATGTGAGAAGAATCCTACCTTAAACAAAATTAGTTAATAAAGGAGCGCAAGTATAAGCTTTTGTTTATGATTGACAACTTGAAAAAAAATTGTTTTTAAAAGGAGGAAAGGTTCATAATGTGTATCAAATCATACCTTTTGATGGTATTGACTTTAGAAAATTTGGTAATTCTAAATGTTCTATGGAGTTGATAAGGTTCGCATCTGATTTTCACCATAGAAATAGAATATGCGAAGATGATGTAGCAAAATACCTGTAAAAGAAATTCCTTTCCAGTTTTAATATTTTTGTAAGTAGTGAAGATGTGCTAAATAGATCATAAATAGATAGGATTATTTGTTCATTGTATCATATAAGGGCACAGTCAGATGCCTGCAAGACGTGAAGTTCTTAAACTGCGCGACACCAAAACCTGTATAATCCCAGATCTACTGGGATACAAAGTTAGAGTTTGATCAGACAGAGAGTCGAATTGCGTTCTGTTGCACAGAAAATGGTAAAGTGGTAATGAGTTAATTAATTAAATGTCAGAATTTATAATCAATTACATTGTCTTTGACCGTTTCAGCTGTATACGACTAAATAAGCACCGATATAATTTTAAAGCTGCATGGATTTACATTCCTTGAATTTCCCGATTTTGGAATATTCCTAAGATTTCATTGTTATCGTGAAGGTGGGTTACTAGATGTACATAAGTCGAGAAAAGGATTTTCTAAAAATATAATTTGTATCAAATTAATGAGCCTTAGGGCCTGTGCAATTGAAAAGGTTTTCATAACTTTCAAAAATATTTGTAAAAATTTAAATATTATATTTATTGTAATTAGGTAAACAGTTTGCTTGCTAGAATTTAATATTCATCAGTAAGGAAGAAACATATTTTTAAAAGATACGATCCATTTCACATGCCTGTGTATTTGGAAATTACATGCTCTGTATTTTTTTACTACTTTGCTTTTTCTGGTAGAACGAATTTTATAGGAAGATTAAATAAAATGTTCTTAGTTAGGGCTTAGTTCTTAGAAGAAAGCTCAATTTTGAAAGAGATCCTATCAGCATAATGTTCTCCTTTGGAGGCACATCACTGATTCCGATTTGTATCAGTTTAAAAGTATTCTAAAACTCACGTATTTTGTCTTCTGGATCAATAAGTAATACTGTACTAATAAGCGTTGCTGAGATAAATTGAAAATGGATTTCAAACTAGAATTTTAACCCAATGATATCTCAAAGTATCTATGAAATTACACCTTCAGTGTCCACTGTCGGGGTCCACTATTAGCAATGGAAAAAAACCCTAAAATTTGCTAAAATTGTGTTGTCAAAAAATGGTGTGAAAAATAAATAACAGGGTGGTCATGTGTTACGGACTGAAACAGTGAGACGATGACATGTACAGTCATAAAAGTTTTTACGAAACCTTCTTGAAGTATTGCTGCAAGTGTATATGGATGAAAATAAATTAATTGCCTCATTTTCATGGGGAAAAAATAATAATGAAATATTTCGTTCGAGAGAAAAAACTGAATTTCAGAATATACCTGATTTTTACAAAACAGTAAAGTAATTTCTATGAGAATTTGATCAAAAAATTATTTTAAATCCTTGTATTTTTTTTTTTTTAGAAATTCTTGAAAATGAATGTAATTATATGCAGTTACAGAATATCTGATCATGATATTATGTTTCTATCTTGCAAAGAATGAAAAAGAGGGTGAACACGTTACCAAATTCGAACTAAAAATTTCTGGCAACCATACAATATTTGATTTTCATATTATTAATATATTATATACACTAAAAGAATTTGAATATATATTTTTTGTTTGTATGATTATTGTAAAGTACTGGTAGTACTTTGCATTAAATGAAGATTTGCAGCTTAGTGGATTTTGCCCCTTTGATTTAAAAAAAATAGCAACACTTTTTGTTTCAATATGTGAAAAGATGAAAACAAAAAATTATCATAATTTTTTTTTTCAACCGATTTCAAAAAATGAAACTGTTTTTGAAATGGTTTTGAAGGCTTTTAAACAAAGCATTGTTTTTTAATCTGAGAAGTGCTTTTAAAAATCATGTTCCATAGCTACCACAATACGATCAGCAATTGTATTCTCTGTCACTTTCAGTACTTTAAAATAAACTCTCTGGAAAAGACATTTTAAAATTGTCATTGGCTTAAAATACACAAGGACATTTATTTTAAATATTAGTACACAGTGAGCTTGAGATAAAGATACCAAGGAGTCTGAAACATGTTTCATATTTGGATTTTTGTACTAGAAGTAGATCTTAATGGTACTCTAACAACAAAAATTTATGATAAATGAGATGACTTTTATTTTTCAATTGGGTCAACTTTCCTTACTTATGCAGCGATATACCCTTATCACTTGCTTGCAAGGTTTACATCTCTTAGTTGATTCAATATGCAAGCTCAATAACATGCTCCTCATATGAACAGCTTCTAAACGAGGTTAGTTATTGACAAATATGTTGATGAAAAAAGACTTTAAAGTCATTATTTTGTAAGTTCTATGGTCGATACAATGCTTTTGTCAGCGAAAAAAATTTATCATTAAACCAAGTGCTGATTGTCATTCTCCTCATACTGATTGTTAGGCCATTAATTACACATCGAATTATCGACGAATTTTTCTGATTTTTTTTTCACCGAACATGATCAATGATCTTTTCAGCACATAAATCTAAAATTAAGTCAAATGATGACTGATGTTTTTCACACAAATTTTTAGGCCATTATTTACACACTGAATTGTCAACGGATTTTCCCGTTATTTCTAAGGCCTGTGTGACAGGTCTGCAAGGGATACACACCGTCCTGGCACCTGATCCCACCTCTTATGTTTAGAGGTCCTTGTTTGATATGCTCCTAATTTGTATATATTGTTTTCTTTTGAGCTTAAAAGTTGTTCGTACCTCAATATATTTATTCATTAGAACAATTACTTACTTTGTGAGAGGGAAGACAACGGGTTTGTAATTATAAACTATTCCATTACTACTGGTGATACCACAAATCAGGGTCAAAGAAGAGCCATAGCATTTAATTCTTGTCGATTAGAGAATTACTCCGCATTCATGGCCATCGAACAGAAGTGAAGGAACTTTTTCTTAAATTGCCAAAACCTGTCGTGACACGGTCTAGGCCTTTTTTTGGTCTCATCTAAAGGACTAGTTATTTCATTTTTAAGTGCCGAACGTATAGCGCAGGAACATTTGCTACCTACTTTTTATCGACTAAGGTCTATCGCGGCCGGGGCTCGAACCCACAACCTTCCGATCACGGAGCAAGCATTCTACCAAATGACCATCCATAACGGTCAATGGTTGATAGAATGGCCTTGTTTGTAAGTACAGCCTTTATGGTCAAAGGTGTGACCGATCAATAGAGAATGTCTACCATTTAACACAAGTTTTACTTGGCTTTGCTCACAATTGGTATGGCTAAAATGGAGTTTGTTTTTGGCATTGTCTCCTTTTGTCAGCTTTTATTTTAAAATATTACCAAGTGTTTCTGAAATGAACTGATTCCATTTTGTCGTGTTACTGTTACTGTTATTTTCTCCCCTTTTATATTGGTACTTTTACACTTGCAAACAATTTTGATTCGTTTTAAATTCGTCTAGTCACAGTTTTGATTAAGATTTTCTTTGAATTCGCTCCTTTTCAAATTCGCCCAATCGAGGTTATGGCGATAGGGGAAAATAAAACGGGTGCAAAAATTTCTCTGTATTTATTATATATGTACCATTTCAGATGAATACGTCAACATTAAGCCAGACTGACATAAATCTACGTAGTCAAAATTGGCAGGAAGCATACACCAATATTAATAGAAGAGAAGCCCTTCTTTTCGGAAAATTTCCCAGCAAAATGGGTCAGTATTTTTATTAAAAAGTTTTACATTTTCTTTAATGATTTTTCATGAACTTTGAAGTACCGCAGTAATTGAATATTTAGTTGTCAAGAAAAATTATTGACCTTCAATATTATAGATGTTCCCAAAATTGTGCAGACAACTCTGAGAGAACGAGAATTTACAATTTTTATACAGATTTTTTATCCAAATGCGATAACACATATGAACTGAATGCTACCAGCTTTTATAAAGACTCTGTGTTATTCTTCATTACTTATATAAGCAGATCGTGAATCCAATTTAGAGCAAACTCGCCATTTAGTATTTTAGGGTTGTGAGAACTAAAACTTGTCCAAATGAAGGATTTTTAAAGGGGGATTGCCTAACTATATTATAAACATATGTAAAAGTATCATTATTAAACACTAGTGCAGGGTACATGTATTTCAAAAATCAGCCATACAGTTATTTTTGAATAATTACCTACGTGCTTTTATGTGTAAAATTCAAGTTGATGAATTTATGTCTCTTAAATTATAGATTTTTAGGAATCACGGAACAAATCCCTGTAGAGATCCGATTATCAATTTTAACTATAGTTTTTTTTTTCATTTTTATGTCGACACGATATATCACGGTGAGCTTTAAAGAAAAGATATAATAGAGAGGCTGTTTTATATTTGGATATTTTGCTAAAAAAAAAAAAGATCGACTTCAATGTTATCTAACAACAAAGCTTTATGATAAGCGTGATGACTTTAACTTTTTAATCGTCAATTTTTCTTACTTATGCAGTAATATACCTTTGTCACCTGCATACGGAGTTTATATATCTCAGATGATTCGATATGGAAGAGCGTGTTCTACGTAATGGCAGTTTCTAAAACGGGGTAGGTTGGTGACAAACAAGTTGATGAAGCAAGAATATCAGCAGCCTCGTTTAAAGTCATCATTTTGTAAGTTTATATGGTCGATACAATGACCTTGTCAGCATATACAATATATCATAAAAGTGACACCGTGACGCACAAAGGGGAAAATTGACAAATGTAGAATTTTTGCATGACCAGTGTATAATTTTATTCTATTCCTAAAAGTATTAGGTTTCAGAAAATTACAGGTTTCAGAACCTAAAAATTCTATTTTTATGGAGAAAAATAAAAGTAAAAATAATTTCGGTATGCCCCATAACGAAAATATTGCTCAATACTTCTTCTTCCCTATTGTACGCGTGTACAGAAAAGTTGAATAAGTTTCCATAGTTACAATGGTCTCAAGTACCTAGGAATTAATGTAAGTAGACCAAAAATTTTGATGCAATCTTTTTAAAACGTTGTTAGAACATATTTCTCACCTTTGCATGCTCCAGCTGAATGTTGTTTACAAGTTTGAGATAAAAATAAAAGTGGCGTGACCTTGACATGTACACGAAAACGATTCAACCTTTGTTTTTCCGTCATATATATTGATAATTTTTTTACTTGCAGTTTAATTGTCATATCTTAGCTATATACTCATTAGTCTTTCTCTGTGTGCTACAAATATCGGGGAAAAAAACACATGATTTTGACTCATTGTATTACTTTAAGTCAAATACTGACTGACTTTTTTCATCCTGATTGTTAAGTCATTATTTAATAACAGCTAGAGTTGTCGACGAATTTTCTCGTTTTTCCCCGAACATGACAAGGAGTGTGACCGATGTGACCGCTCAGCAGGGCATGCTCCCTCCGTCATGGTACCTGATTTCACCTCTGATGTTTTGGAGGTTAATGTTTGCTCCGCTCCTAATTTATCATGTTTAATGGACTTTTTATTTATGGAGATAACCAACAATTTTCAAGTTCAAATGTCCTATCATATTATGAGATTGTGTGCCATGGAAGAGTGAGCATATCCCGCCGACCAGTCAGTCCCACGATGTACGTGTACCTACACATGATCAGGAAATAACGTGAAAATCAGTTGACAATTCAATATGCAAATAATGGCCTAACAATGAGTATAAAACCGTCCGTCAGCATTTCCACTAAATGATATATTGTATTTGCTGGCAATGTCATTGTATCGACCATAAATTTTATTGAATGATGACTTTAAAAGAGACTGCTGATATTCTTGATTCATCAACTTGTTTGTCAATGACTTACCTCGTTTTAGAAATTGTTTACAAGGACAGCACTTTTTTGCGTTTCGATTAAATAACTTTTGGCAGATTTTTAAATTTGATTTTTAAGATTACAATGCAAGTATAAAAAAAATTAAAATGTGCAGCTTTTGGATATTAACGATTAACATTCAATTTTTGCATGATCAAATTGTCGTTCATTATTTATTAGGGAGACCTTAGTTACACTAAAGACCTTAGTTACACTAAATTACATTGCTGTTTTATTTTCATGCGCCCGGATTGATAGATCCGAGGCGTATATTGTTTTTGTCCTGTCTGTTTGTCTGTTTGCCTTTTATCTGTTTGTCTGTTTGTTTGTCTGTGTCTGTCTGTTGTCAACTTTAACCTTCGCCATAACTTTTGAATCATGAAAGATAGAGACTTTATATTTGGTATGCATACTCCACCAATGAAGTTCTTTCAAATGACACCAAGGTCAATTACCTTGTGACCTTTACTGTGACCTATTTGCTAAAAATAGCTTTTTCGAATTTTCGCAACAACTTTTGAACCATGAGAGATGGAGACTTTATATTTGATATGCATACTCCACCAATGACGCTCTTTTAAATGAAACCAAGGTCAATGACCTTGTTACCTTGACTGTGACCTTTATGCTAAAAATAGATTTTACAAACTTTCTCCATAACTTTTGAACCATGACAGATAGAGACTTCATATTTGGTGTGCATACTCCACTAATGAAGTTCTTCAAATGACACTAAGGTCAATGACCTTGTGACCTTGACTTATCTTCTGAAAATATTTTTTTGAACTTTGTTGCCGTCGGGCGCATAGTGTTTCACAAACACATCTTGTTCATTTAGTAGACACTCAGTTACAACTGCTGTTTTATTATTTAATGAGTAGACCTTAACATCTCTCTCGATCGATCGATCTCGATTTAGTGCACTGTCACACTTAGTTACTTATTTGTACTATTACAGGTTTCCTAACCATAGGAATTCCTTCCGTCAAAAGACGCAACATGACCTATCTCGAGAATACACTTCAGTCTTTGGTGTCAAAAGCATCACCAGAGGATCGCGGAAGAGTAATTATTGTGGTGTTTTTGACTGATAGTAATCACACTTGGGTGATCCATCGAGCCAAGGAAGTCTACAAAAGATTCAAAGAACATGTAGATTCCGGTTTTATACAAATTGTACATCCACCACACATCCTTTACCCTAACTTCCGGTTGCTGGAGCGCCGGTTCAATGACAGCCCGGAGAGAGTGGCCTGGCGGAGCAAGCAGAATTTAGACTACTCTTATTTGATGACGTACTCACAACCTCTGTCGAAATATTACCTACAGTTAGAGGATGACGTCATTGTTACTAATAATTACACACGTAAACTGAAAGATTTTATAAATAGAAACCCAAACAAATGGCTTTTCTTGCGTATGTCAAAACTTGGATTCATTGGGCTTCTATTTAAAAATTCTGATTTATTGAAAGTTGCTGAATTTTTACGTATATTATTTGACGAAAAACCCTGTGATCTCCTTATAAATGATTTACGTGTCATCAAAGGACAAACAAAAGATATATTACTGTCTCCCTCCTTATTTCAACATATGGGTGTTATTTCCTCTTTAAAACATCAAATTCGGCATGTCAAAGATAAAACATTTAAGGATTAATTCTTTTATTTCTCTGCGTCTCCAAATTATCATTCTCAGTCAATAGAGACAATTATTCCCTTTTTGAAAGTCAAAGAAAAATGAACAAGGAAAAGCATTTTGTGATGAATTCAGTTCAACGAAATATAATGCTATTACTTCATATAATTACTGTTTTATTACTGAATATGTTTCTAAAAGTATAACAGACTTCCGTTTTTTTTTAATTTCAGTGTTTTTTCCATTTCCCAATAAAATCTGTTGCTTTATATTTTGACCCTATTTATTTTGACTTATTAGCATTTCTAAAATTAAAATTATAATGTGTACTTGATACATGACATGTACGTTGTATAAATTTCCTGAGTTACTGTAGGTTTAAATCTAAATGTTTTAGATTATTCTGTCAAAACGTGTTGGAGCAACTGATTGGATGATTGGAATAAAATGGAATAACCTGTCCTCCCTCAAACTGTCAAAGTAGACTACTCTAAAGGGTATAAAAATGAGACTGCACTGAGTTTCAAGAGTGGTGATGCTGACGGTAAGCCGAATTAAAGAAGTTGGGAAGGTGAAGAAGGCGGACACAAATGACAAGAATCCTGGGTACTTGGGGGGGGGTGTCTGTAGAAGATCTGAATTAGTTTGGAACACTTTGTATCCGCTATCAATAGGAAACGGTGGCAAGGTAAGATGAATGGCAGAAGTATAAAACGTACGCTCAACTAGGACCTTAGGTCCCCTGCTCAGTTCACGACTATCGGGCCTGTTTACTCCGCTACAAAATGTAGTGCGTTGCATACGCAAAGTGAAAATAGAATAAATCGTAATACTGTGATGCCTTGATACAGTGTAAAAAAAAACTATAAAATTTATTTTTGTCAAAGGAATAACCATCTGATGTGTATTAGAAAAGACAGAGGGGGGAGGGGGTTGCTCAGCAACATTAACTGCAATATTATAAGATATATGATATACAAGTTTAAGAGTTTAACATTTATGGATTATGTTGGGTGACCTGTGGTCTCCCCTATGATTTTATTGTTCCATGTAAGGTTATAGTATCTATATAACACAGTGCCTTACCTCTGATCTCCTTACTAATAGTAAGCCGACGGTCCAGCCGATCACTATTAACAAGCTAGGGGAGGATGAAGATCTTGCCCCCTATCACCCCTTACCTCTTCATTTCGCTCGGACTTTTCAGGAATAATTATTTGTTAATAAATTATCTAATGTCTCCTTTGTCTTCCTAACGAGGTCATCCTTCATTAGGCGACCTCATCACTTTAACACTTTTTAGTAAACCCCTGATTTTATTTATTTTACAAAGAAGATGTACCCCCGTATTGCGAAGTAGGGAGACAAAGGGTCACCTTATATTGTACATCAGTACGGGGACCAGAGGACACCTTATAGTGTACATCAGTAGGGGGACCAGAGGTCACCTTGTATTGTACAGTGCATCAGTTGGGGGACCAGAGGTCACTTATATTGTACATCAGTCAGGATACCAGAGGACACCTTATATTGTACATCAGTACATGACCAGAGGACACCTTATAGTGTACATCAGTAGAGAGACCAAGGGTCACCTTATATTGTACATCAGTACGGGGACCAGAGGACACCTTATATTGTACATCAGTAGATGGTCCAGAGATCACCTTATATTGTACATCAGTAAGGGGACCAGAGGACACTTTATAGTGTACACCAGTAGGGAGACCAGAGGTCACCATATATTGTACATCAGTAGGCGGACCAGGGGTCACCTTATATTGTATATCAGTCAGGGGACCAGAGGACACCTTATAGTGTATATTAGTGGGGGGACCAGGGGTCACCTGATATTGTACATCAGTAGGGGGACCAGAGGTCACCTTATATTGTACATCAATAGAGGGACCAGAGGTCACCTTATATTGTACATCAGTAGGGGGACCAGAGGTCACCTTATATTGTATATCAGTCAGGGGACCAGGGGTCACCTTATATTGTACATCAGTAGGGGGACCAGAGGTCACCTTATATTGTACATCAGTCAGGGTACCAGAGGACACCTTATATTGTACATCAGTACATGACCAGAGGACACCTTATAGTGTACATCAGTAGAGAGACCAAGGGTCACCTTATATTGTACATCAATAGGGGGACCAGAGGACACCTTATATTGTACATCAGTAGAGGGACCAGAGGTCACCTTATATTGTACATCAGTCATTGGACCAGAGGACATTTTATAGTGTACATCAGTAGGGAGACCAGAGGTCACCATATATTGTACATCAGAAGGCGGACCAGGGGTCACCTTACATTGTACATCAGTAGGGTGACCAGGGGTCACCTTATATTGTTTATAAGTCAGGGGACCAGAGGACACCTTATAGTGTACATCATTAGGGGGACCAGGGGTCACCTTATATTATTCATCAGTAGGGGGACTAGAGGTCACCTTATATAATACATCATTAGAGAGACCAGAGGTCACCTTATATTGTACATCAGTAGGGAGACCAGGAGTCACCTTATATTTTACATCAATAGGGAGACCAGGGGTCACCTTACATTTTACGTAAGTAGGGGGACCAGAGGTCACCTTATATTGTACATTAGTAGGGGGCAGAGCCTTCATGTCAGTTTTAACGTTCGTCACTTGGTGGACCAGAGGTTAAGTAATATTGTACATCAATGGGCTAACCAAACGTCACCTTATATTTTATATATATTTCATTATGGAGACTAAAGGTCACTTTTATATTGTACAACAGAAAGGGGACCAGAGGTCACCATATACTGTACAAGACCAGGAGTCAGATTATATTGTACATCATAAGGAGAAACAGAGGTCACCTTATACATCAATAGGGGGTCAGAGGTACCCTATGTTGTAGTTCATTATTGGGACCTAAGGTCAATTTATATTTAACAACACAAGGGGAACCAGATGTCACCTTATATTGTACATACATAGGGAAACCAGTGGTCCCCATTGTTGTACATTTTTAAGGAAACCAGACATAAAATAAAATTTATATGAATGCAGAGATACGGCATCTAGACCTGTCTTAAGCAAGAGACATCTGAAAAGGAAATAAGGGCGGACCAGAAGTTACAGATAAAATGCATATTAACGGGATACTAGACGTTCTCTTATAATATAAGAACACGCAAGAGGCCTATGGGTCTTATAGGTCATCTGAACATCATGTGAAAACTTTAAAACAATTGAATTTGGTTCGCGCTTTGAACCAGAGGCAATGACATTCGAAATTTTGAAAAAAAAAAAAGCACCATTGCTCACCATAACTATATACTTAACATGCTTAGTTTGGCTATTTGATACCTATATAGAGCGTAGGGGAACAAAAAAGTGCATTTCAAATAATCATTAATAATTAGCAATAATAAGTAGTGCCCATTGACCACAAAAACCCTCATCCTGGGGTCATACATTTCACAATTTTGGAAAAGTCACCCTTAATTGTTTATAAAAACATTTGGTTTATACTAAAGAACAAATTTCAAAGCATTAATTCAATTACATACATGTATTTAATAAGAGCCTCCACCCCTCAATGTTACCTATGAGCCAGGGGCCTTGAAATTTATAATTCTGGAAGAGGCTCCCTTGCTTTTCACAATTATATGTAGTTAGTTTAATTAATATCCAGGAGCAGAGAGAAATATTTTTTCAAAGAATTAATGAATTTTAACTTTACAATTTATATAGCCCCACCGTAATACCAGAGCCCCTGACCTTTGGGTCATGAATTTCAAAACTTCAGAGAATAAATGCATTTCACGATTTAATAGCCATTCTCTGTAACCACTTAAACTTCGTTGCCACGCATGGTGACCGATTTTGATGAAACTTCACCCATGCTTAGTACTTGATACCAGAAACAATTATTAAACAAAATTCCGTTGCTATGTGTCTCGGTTGCTATGGCAACAGCCAGAAAAGTTTGAAAAATCGAGGTTTTCAGCCACTTTAAATCTTGATTGTGGCTTAATAAAAACTAGAAAAAGCAAACAAACCATTCTCACAAAAACATGACACCTTGATGTCACTTATACTGTAAAGAAACTGTTTAGAATATATCTCTAAGTAAGTGGTAACCAAGGGTACATTTGGAATACATTTAAAATGCTGAAATATGCTGAAAAACACCCCGTATTCACTAATGGTAGGTGTTACATGCTCAAACTCAATCATCGACTTAAGAAAAACAATGAAAATGTTTGACCTTAAATATATAAGTATAAGCAATATTATTCTATAAATAACTTTTATGGTTGCCATGGTAACACCGTGTAACCATGCAAAACCAGTAACTAAGATTGGGTTAATGCTACTGTCTTGAGGAAAAACATGAAAATTCAAGACTGGCAAATATGCATCTTTAGGACCCTGCAACACCAAAACCATAAGAAAAATTGGGTATAATTGCTACTTTGCAGTGTTACCAAGGAAACAAAGTACCAGTGCTTAAAAGTGAATTATTTTTCGCTGCATTCAGAATTAAATTGCCATTTAATCAAGTAACAAATTAAAGGACTATGCTTGAATGGTACTTATCTGTTAGAACTGAAGTTGAATATCATATATTGATAAAATTTGATGAATAAAACAACACTGTTGCTATGGTTACCAAGAAGGGAATATGTTCGATTTTGTGAACTTTATATCAATATTAAACCCTGTGTGCCAACTTCTTGCATCCACTTAGAGATTGGATGATAGTCAAAATTAAAAGTCGTGTTAGCTGTTAATAAATATCAATCATAAACGTTTTGGGAATCTACATTTAAGGGTACGTATCCAAGGAAAGAAAGTATTTTTCAGGTTTTTAAGCATATATTTTCTGCTTATTTCCATAGCAACGCTCTATTTAAAGAATCCAATCTGAATTTTTTCAAATGGGAAAACTTGGAGCACATCAACATCTTATAAAATTGATCATTAGTTATGAGAAAATGTGCTTTTTTAAAAGATAGGATCAGATTTAAACATACAAAGTGTTACTTTGAAGGCTGTCTGTGGTATAAAAACCTTGGCAACCATTTTCAACCAAAATGAAATATCATATTTTGTTCTTGGTATATGTTTCAAGGCT